ACCACGACCATGATTATAACAACCACGACCATGATTATAACAACCACGACCATGATTATAACAACCACGACCATGATCATAACCACGACCACGATTATAACAACCACGACCATCCATCTCATATACTATTGGAATAGCCGTGTGTGTGTGTTCTGGGCAGCCGAAACGGCACAATCGTTTTTCATCAAACTTGGTGGAAAAATCGCAAAAAATTCATAAAGTGGAACAAACCTGGTCCCACGTCGATGGTTTCTTTAGGAAGGCATTAATTAACCATTTTATTTACGCTGGAAAACGACATCGCTGTACGCTGTCAGCCGGATGGCGGTTGCACGCTAGCCAAGCGCGAGCGTTCGAACTTTCACGCCTCGGTAAACTGTACAACCGGACTCGCCACCGGGCACGAAGGGCCCACGATCACTTGTAATTAACTATACACAATACACTTTGGGACATCACTTTGAAATGGAAAAACAAAACAAACGTAAGTAATGTAATAGAATAGTATTGTATGAAAATAATTATAAAATATTTTTTTTTGTTATGCAAAGTTTAGTTAATTAAGGAGTCGTTCATTTGGTGTCAAAATATAGAGAAATTGGATTGGATCAAGTTAATGCCACTTGCTTACACTCGCGTTCCGTTGTTGTTGTGAAACACCCAGAGGAGTGGTGAGGGATGTCTGATATAAGTGTTTATAGTGGGAAATGACATAATGTTGTTGTTATTAAAGGAAACCTATGAAGACGTTTGGGTTAATTTATTAGCCTTAATAGATTGTAGAAGATAAAGGTTAAATCTGTCAATTCTATAATATGACCTTGGGCTGTGATGGTGGTAAACCATACCAATACCAACCTTACGGACACAACACTTAGCAACCATATTCGACTGTACTCAACCTAGTTGGGATAGGACCTTACTCTTCCGGTCTTGGCCTTCACGCACAGTGGCTCGCTGGCTAAATATAACTCAATAATGTTCTATGTTAACCTATTATTAATGCATTTGCTTTCATTTCTACCCTGGAACTTATTCCTCAGTAATATTTACTTTTTCTTGTGTACCGAAAGTGGCTTCATTCATTCATTCCCGTAAATGCTGTTAATTCATAATTCATTAAAACCTTACAATAAAAATATTGAAATATTTTAAGTAGTTTGACCGCCAAAATAACGTCGTTTTCTAAAGTCACCCCTCCCCGCCCCCTGTCACATAAAAAAAATAAGACAACCTTGATTATCTGAAGTCCCTGAACTATCAACCCGTCCAGTTCTGCCCAGTAAGACCCTGCCATAATTTACGCTCTCACAATAATACTGAAATTAAACCATCGCGTCTTTGGCGAATTACTGAGTGAATACAAAATCTATCACGGACGGACTGGTGGATGGACGAGCGTACAGCATCATTGCAATACGTATATCCCCAAACTTTCGGTTCGGGTGGAAAAAAAAATTAACGCCGGTCAACAAGTAACGGCGCTCCCAATACCGTAAAACGAATGACTTCCCTATCTTCATAAAACTTAGAAACACGAGGAGGTGGTCTCTGATGACGAGCTGTGACGGTCAACACCTTAATCCTAATCGCCCCCGAGGCATAACGGTCTTCAGCATTACAGTTGGAGCCCATTAAAATTGGGATCCGTTGGAATTAGTACTTCCTGGGATTGGGACCTGCTATTCCCACGCTCCAATCCAAATGGTTAGGTTAGGTTGCTACCAATCAGGGCTAGGACCTGTTTGACGAATCAACAGCTGAATGAGAGGACATTGCGCTTCCAAAACACGAAGCCGATTAGCTAATAGTCTGTAAAGCAGGATAATGAAACCATGACAGCATGGTTAGGGTCATTATATCTCAGTGTAGCAAGAACTTTCCAGGAGAGATACGGATGCCTCTAAAACAGGCGAGTGTGATGACTGTACCCACTGAATGGAAAATTTTTATGGTTAACATATTTATTGACAAAGCTTGGAGTACAGTTTGCCTATTCTGAGTAATTCAGTCATGTATTGACACTGAGGGTGGTATCACTTCTCACGGCCACGCAGAGGTGAGGCTCTGACGGGAAGAAGGTGGGAGGGGGAGGACTCTGTTACCCTCATAGTCGGCGTGAGGGAAGGGGAGGGGCAGACTTTCAAATAGACAGCGACGGGACCACAGGCGACCACAGAACGGTGTAAGGTTAAGGAGTGGACCCGACGTCCGCGTGAACGAGTGGGTGCATCACATTGACTCATTGATAAGGGAGAGACACCGACGTCTTCAAAGATGGAGGGAAAAAGCGTAACGTTCCTTTAAAACTTGTGGGACTCGAAAGACTCCAGACTCTGCTGATGAATAAAACGATAACCGATGACTATGATAGCTTGGACGTACCTGATATACGGTGTGTTAATGTCCATCGAGGAGCTGTATTATTTCACACTTACCTGGAAAAAGAAAAGGAAAAATCCAGGTGAGATTACCTGACGACCCCCCCCCCCTCACATACACGCCAAGTGATTATTCCCAATTAACTCACAGGAACAACTAAAACAGAACCAATGATCTTAAGCATTAGTTTATGCCAAATGGATGACTAAGATAACTTGTTCAATATGTCAAGAACACAACTGTAATATTATTAGTACAAGTAGTTACCTTTTGGTGGTGGGAACCCTTGTGCCGTACAGGATCACCCCATGGCACCGTCTTGACACTCTTATGACACCTCGTGGCCCTTGACAACACCTTGCTGTACTCTATGACACACTTTACACCTTGCGATAGTTCAAAACACTTTTCAACATCAATGCCACTTTACGACACTTTTCGACATTGTATGACACTATTGTGTGTTGCTTGGACACTTTTTAGCTATCCGAGACTATGACACTATAAAAGGATATGGCTTTTTACTGCACTTTAGAACACCGATACTTTAGGTCAATTCGTGACACTTTAGGACACTTTGACACTTTAGGATACTGACACTTTAGGACACTTTGACACTGTAGGACACTTCATGATACACTTTAGGACACTTCATGATACACTTTAGGACACTTCATGACACACTTCTGACATTCATAGCACTGTTTTCAATGTGCACCACATCTTACGACATTATGCGACACTTATTAACTTAATGGCACTTTATCACACCTAATGGCACTTAAAAGTATTTTATCTTTTTTTTTATATTGCGTGAATCTTTGTGACATACCTTGGCATTTTATGGCACTCTCACCTTGTGCCACTTCACGACACTATACCACTCTTATGACACGTGTAGGTGTTTTTGGCACCCACAGTTACACTACTCTGTGACACTTACGAACCTTCTTGACACTTACAAACACTTTACAACACTGACACACACTTGACGATACTTTACAGTGCTCGTCAGTTTCAGACCTTTCACCAGCTATATGTTTGTCTATAAGCCTTCGTGTAACTCCTTACCGTCACGCGCCAGAGACAGCACTGTGAAGTCTTGTCTTGTTTGAGGCCTTTGTTGACATTCTCATTCTCATAAATCCGAAACCGCGAAACGAGGCAGATTCAAGACCTCGTCCCAGTACTATGAGACTGTGGTTCGTCGTGTTTTATTCATTCGTTTCTCCACACATGTAACTTTAAAGATCTTTATCTGTTCTAATTATAAAGTACAAGGCAATGTATTACACAAGATTGTATGTCAATTTTTAGTTCGTATGCTGGCTCGTTTTGGGATGATTGAGTCTGGTGTATCGAAAACCTGTTCCCGAACCCTGGAAACACTTACGTCATCGATGTCTCAATGTGGTGTCAGTCAACTGGTGAGAAAAAGTATCCAGACTTGCTTAATTGGTTTATCCCGCTTTGTTTGCTTATTAAAAACAAACAAACAAACGGGAACAAAAGGAAAGACGATGAATATGTATTAAAACATAACAAATAACGGTAGAACACATTTTAAATTATTTTCTAATTCCGAAAGTGAAGGCTTCCGGAGACGTGTGTGTTGTGTCAGGACGAACAGCCCACACCACGACTAAACCAAAGCTACTAACACATCTGTCTGGTATAGTGTGTGGTTTAATATTTTAACAGACTCCAGACAAAGCAAAGAAAGTCAATCACCTTAAACTTAATTCATGAAAGGCGTTTCTTGGTTTCCCTGTGTAATTAACCAAACTATTAACTACTGCAAGGCAGTTTGTAGCAGTAGTTTACCTTGTGATTGTCAGTAGTAGCAAATATTATGGGGCCGAGAGGGAAGTGAAAATTCCTCTCACGGAGAGAGGAGAGGAAAAAATAATTAAGGATGTCAAGACATCTTTCGGCACTAAACTGTCCCTGAATCTCTGACATCCCCGACGCCGGGAGAGTCTCCCACCCCCACACATTCACCCTCACTCGGCCACTCCGTTCATAGATATTGTGTCGATCATATCTCCGTAAAATAATGTAGACCTTACCACTTTGTTATATTCTTCCATTAAATATCAAATTATGATCTGTTAATTACTGCAAGATATACGGGATTCCATAGAGTAATATGATACACAGTATACTAAAATTAACCACATTACAGGTTGTAAACATAACATTATAGGTATGCTACCTTGTGTTGTTTCGGCGCCACACATGGAAACGGCCATGGTTGTTGGGAGAACACGACTCAATATAGACATACTGTTGAGCGAAGGAGAGCCTCGAGGCACGGTGGGCGTCTGTCAAGCTCTCCGGTCAAAGCCCATTGGTGGAACAGCTGGTTCAAATGACCAGTGACCTGTTTAGAAACTCCAACATCATGGTATATACTATCATGTTCGTATTTAATTTATTTATCCATGCGAACGTGTTCGGGGGTCAGCGTTAACTTCACACCCTGGTTGACCACCGATTAATTGCCTGGTTTGTGTGTTTCTGGAGGTGTTGGAGGCATGCACCCAGTGAAGTCTCCCTGCATCACCCTGCATCTTCCTATATCTCCCTATATCACCGTACATCACCCTTTATCTCCCTGTGGTATAATATGACATCGTTCTCACCACCAGGAAGGCCAGCCACAAGAAGACGGTTCACCACATCAACCTGCCTGTCACCCTTGAACACCTGGGCCTCACACCTTTCATTATCAACGATAAAGTGACCAATGGCACGTTCTTCCGCTATGCTACCTGTATACCTGATGTTTGTTCAACGGAGGAGTTGTGGGTAAGGCTTGTAAGCTCGTTAAGTTCTTGGTTGATTCTTGTAAAGCTTGTTTTGACTCGTGGATGCAGTGGTGGAGTGGTTAGTGGTGTTTATTGGTCGTTTAGTCTCCAGTTCGAAACCCCCTTTAAGGATGCTGTGTCTACTAATGTATGATAGGGTGTGATAGTATACTGGTTTGTTTAATACACCGTTACAGCTTGTCTCCTCCTCCTTCTCTCCTCCCCCACTCCTACTTCTCCCTCACTCCTTATCCCTGACTCCTCCTTATCTTCGACTCCTCTTTCTCCCCCACCAGGCCAGCTTGGTGCAGGAGTACTGGGAGAAAGACTACAATTTGCTCTATACCTTCTGCCAACCAGATGAAATGTTTACCGCCTTCACTGCTGGGGATATCGCCTTCATGTACGTAACCTGAGTCTTTCGTTTTGTATTTTGTTATTGTGCTCTTGCTTTCCCCCTTCTTCCATCCTCCTTCCCCCTTCTCTGTCACCTCGCAACATAGATGATATATATATATATATATATATATATATATATATATATATATATATATATATATATATATATATATATATATATATATATATATATATATATATATATATATAGTCGATGATCCACATTACTTTTGCTGCTAAGGACTCACTCTCTCTCTCTCTCTCTCTCTCTCTCTCTCTCTCTCTCTCTCATCCAAATCATTGTCTCCTTTTGATCTAGGACTTAAAACAAAGTACCATTTCAAGTAAACCACTCCACCCCCTCCTCCTCTCCTCCCCTCCCTCTTCCCCTTCCCCTTTCCTCCTCTTTCCTCTCCCTCTCCCTTCTCCTTCTCTCCCCCCTCCCCCTCTCCCCTCCTCCAACTACTACTAACCCCACACCTTCACCTCCTCCATAGCACTGTGGTCAGCATTCTCTTCTCACTGATGCTGGCGGCTGGCATCGTCGACGTCTACATACAGAACACCAACAACAAAACCTTGGCGAAAGGTCAGTCGGGTCTGCCAAAACCTTCCTCTATGTATGATACATTTCTGACAACATCTATGTACGTATGATTGAGCTTGATATCAGAGAAGATCAATTATGTTTAGGCAATATTTAAACCTACATTCTATATGATAACTAAAGATGATTATTATTGTTATTTTAATTATAATCAGGGTGATAACAAGACCCACATTATGTAAAGAATGCAAAGGTCATGACTTGAGGTTATTGTGTAGTTATTATTGTAAACTGAACCAGTATCACTAAAGAAACATTAATATTATTATTATATCTCCAACAGGTGGGCTCAAGTACTTGTTGCCCTTCTCAGTTTACACCAACACCCAGAAACTGTTTGAGCTGAACACCAAGTCTTCTCCCGGCACCATATCGTGTTTACATGGCATTAAGTAAGTACTTTATCCCTCACTGTCACAGAGTACTCTCCCTACAGTGTAACTATAACTGTATCCTAACGTAGTACTCTTCCTACAGTGTAACTATAACTGTATCCTAACGTAGTACTCTTCCTACAGTGTAACTATAACTGTATCCTAACGTAGTACTCTTCCTACAGTGTAACTACCCTCTCTCCTCCTTCCTTCCCTCCCTACTACCCCCCTTCCTTCCCTCCCTACTACCCTCCCTCTTTCCTTCCCTTCCTACAAGCCAATAAGGTCGAGTATCTCCGCCAGGGTGTTGTCCATGACTTGGGTAATCTTCGGTCACCAACAGTCTGCTTCCTTACAACTGAACGCTAACACCCAGGACATGTGGAAGGTGAGTGACGTGTTGTGGTGACGTGTTGTGATGACGTGTTGTGGTGACGTGTTGTGATGACGTTGTTGTGAAGTGTTGTGGTGAAGTGTTGTGGTGAAGTGTTGTGGTGAAGTGTTGTGGTGACGTGTTGTGATGACGTGTTGTGGTGACGTGTTGTGATGGCGTTGTGGTGAAGTGTTGTGGTGAAGTGTTGTAGTGACGTGTTGTAGTGACGTGTTGTGATGACGTTGTGGTGACGTGTTGTGGTGACGTGTTGTGGTGACGTGTTGTGATGACGTTGTGGTGAAGTGTTGTGGTGAAGTGTTGTGATGAAGTGTTGTGATGAAGTGTTGTGGTTCAGCGTTGCGGTGACGTGTTGTGGTGACGTGTTGTGATGACGTTGTTGTGAAGTGTTGTGGTTGTGGTGAAGTGTGTGGTGAAGTGTTGTGGTGGTGTTGTGGTGACGTGTTGTGACGTGCTGGTGACGTGTTGTGATGACGTGTTGTGATGACGTGTTGTGGTGACGTGTTGTGATGACGTTGTGGTCAAGTGTTGTGGTCAAGTGTTGTGATGACGTGTTGTGGTGACGTGTTGTGATGACGTTGTGGTGAAGTGTTGTGGTGACATGTTGTGGTGACGTGTTGCAGTGAATTGTTGTGAAGTGTTGTGGTGAAGTGTTGTGATGACGTTGTGGTGAAGTGTTGTGGTGAAGTGTTGTGGTGACATGTTGTGGTGACGTGTTGTTGTGACGTGTTGTGGTGACGTGTTGTAATGACGTGTTGTAGTGAAGTATTGTGATGACGTGGTGAAGTGTTGTGGTGAAGTGTTGTGGTGAAGTGTTGTGATGAAGTGTTGTGGTGAAGTGTTGTGGTGAAGTGTTGTGGTGAAGTGTTGTGATGATGTTGTTGTGACGTGTTGTGGTGACGTGTTGTGATGACGTGTTGTGGTGAAGTGTGATGACGTTGTGGTGAAGTGTTGTGGTGACGTGTTGTGGTGAAGTGTTGTGGTGACGTGTTGTTGTGACGTGTTGTGCGTGTTGTGATGACGTGTTGTGGTGACGTGTTGTGGTGAAGTATTGTGATGACTTGGTGAAGTGTTGTGGTGAAGTGTTGTGGTGACATGTTGAAGTGTTGTGATGAAGTGTTGTGGTGAAGTGTTGTGGTGAAGTGTTATGGTGAAGTGTTATGGTGAAGTGTTGTGGTGACGTGTTGTGGTGACGTGTTGTGGTGAAGTGTTGTGGTGACGTGTTGTGGTGACGTGTTGTGGTGACGTGTTGTGGTGAAGTGTTGTGGTGACGTGTTGTGGTGACGTGTTGTGGTGAAGTGTTGTGCTGACGTGTTGTGGTGAAGGTGTGTTGTGGTGACGTGTTGTGGTGAAGGTGTGTTGTGGTGACGTGTTGTGATAAAGGTGTGTTGTGGTGACGTGTTGTGGTGAAGGTGTGTTGTGGTGACGTGTTGTGATAAAGGTGTGTTGTGGTGACGTGTTGTGGTGAAGGTGTGTTGTGGTGACGTGTTGTGGTGAAGGTCATATGTAGAGTATATTTTTTTTTTATCTCTTTATGATGTCTGCCCGTGTCTGTCTGTCTGTATGTATGTATGTCTGTCTGTCTGTATGTATGTATGTATGTCTGTCTGTCTGTCTGCATGTATGTATGTCTGTCTGTATGTATGTATGTATGTATCCGCCTGACCCACTTTCACTCCTTGAATCCATCTCTTTCCCCATAAAACACGACGACGAGAACTCACACACACACACACACACCCACACACGCCCCACACCCCCCCACAAACCCATATACCCACACACCTCCACACCCACACACACCCTCTTCAATGCCCCACCACACTCACTGTACAGGGTGTCTCAAAAAGAAAACACATTGTCATATAAATTATCGTGGAAGTCTGGTGAAGGTCGTAGTATACCAGCTACAGTGTCCACATTAAGGAGACTTCACATACATATAAGGACAATGTTGCTGTTTAATCCTGTTCAAGTATTCACGTGACCCCACGAAAATTTGTAAAGTAATGTGTATTTTGTTTTTGCTACACCCTGTATGAAATATGACAATAAGTATGACAATAAGAAAGTATGACAATAAGTATGATGACAAGTATGACAACAAGAAAGTTGACAACAAGTACGACAACAAGTATGACGACAAGTATGACAACAAGAAAGTATGACGACAAGTATGACAACAAGAAAGTTGACAACAAGAAGGTATGACGACAAGTATGACAACAAGAAAGTTGACAACAAGAAAGTTGACAACAAGTATGACAACAAGAAAGTATGACAAGAAAGTTTGACAACAAGTATGACAACAAGTATGACAATAAGAAAGTATGACAACAAGTATGACAACAAGTACGACAATAAGAAAGTATGACAACAAGAATGTATGACAATAAGAAAGTATGAACAACTATTAAGAGGATGTATTGTGTTGTGTCAGAGAGTAAACAAGTTCCTGTATCAAGCGATCGCGAACGCCTACTTCAGCGTGGACACCTTCTTCATGGTGGGCGGCCTCCTCTTGTCCTGCAGCGCCTTCAGGCAACTCAAGAGGACTGGGAAGTTCAACGTCGCTCTGTTTTTTCTACACAGATTAGTCAGGTAGGATGTATGAACATTTTTTCTCACTAATTACAATATACAGGTTGAGGATGGACACCATTTAGTATCTTTTTTCGGTCTTCGGGAAAATAAAACAAGATCAGAGATTTTTTTTTTATCACCATATGTTCTCGGTAAGACTTCAGGTAGGTGCTCGTTGTAGGTTTAGGTTTAGGTTAGGTTAGGTTTAGGTTAGGTTAGGTTAGGTTAGGTTAGAGAGGTAACGCTCAAGTAACTCTCACGTCCTCTCACAGATTAGTCCCAGCCATCGCCATCGTCACCGGTCTCTACGCCACCGTCGTCCACTTCTTCATGTCTGGCTTCTTCGCTGACTTCTGGCACTACTGGTAGGCGACCTGTAGTCAAATCTGGTGGAGGGACATCTTATTCATAAACAACTTTGTGAACGAGCCTGCAGGACTAGGACTTGGAGGAGACGTAAGTAAGGAGAGAGGGTCCTATAGGTTAGGTTAGGTTAAGAACTTATTATATTATGGTCTCCTACCTTATATAACTTACTCATATACTTTATGGCTTCTACATACAAGAGGTGTGTCAATGTATTTACCTGTTTCAGTGTTTGGGTCAGTGTTGGTACCTGGCCGTCGGCACACAGTTATACCTGGTGGCTCCCTTAATCTTCCTACCATTATATTACTACGCTCCCGTTGGTGAGTCCAGCTTTTATACAGTGAAACCTCTATTTAACGGACTATATGGCAAGGAAAGTCCGTTATATCAAAATCCCATTAAATGTGAAACCTCCATCTAATGAATTATATAGAGATGAGATTCCGATATATTAAGAGTCCGTTAGATGTGATGAAACTCTCCATCTAACGGATTATATGGAGAGATGTCCGTTATATAATGATTCCACTGTACCTGTTGCCTATAAGAACATTCAATCAGGGAAAATGAAGTATATCTTACACGCCAATGATCTACTAGACCCCAATAGGACAGAGACAAAAATCAAGGCCCTAATCCAAACTGTACCCCTCAAAGCAGAGAGCACAGAACGCCATCTTACAGTAAACAAATAACTTATGAATAGAAATTTAACCAATATAAACACTTAATAAACAGCTAGACGTATAATGCTGTGATAGTGTGTTGTATTTAGTTTAGTTAGTATGTATGATAGTATACAAGAGCCGTGTATTAATGCTGTATTTTCCATTGTATTATACTAGGTAAGGTCTGGATGTATGTGCTGTGTGTGTTGTCCATCTACATCCCTGCCCAGATTATCTACACCTATGACCTGCCTCCCTCTTCCTTCTTAGTAGCTCGGTAAGTCAGGGAGGGGAGAAGTGATAAATGGCAGTGAAGAAATAAGCAAAGCATTGAACAACTACTTCTTATCAGTTTTCACAGAAGAAATTCGCTAGGAAATTCCAGAGATGGAACTCATATTTAGGGGAAAGGAAGAAGAGAAATTAAAGAATATCACTATCAGAACAGAGGATGTTCTTAAGAGGATAAATAAACTAAAGAAGACAAAATCCCTCGAGTCTTGAAAGAGTGTAGGGAACAGATTAACGGATCCCTTGTAAATTTATTTACAAAATTATTAGACACCGGAGTTGTGCCAGACTTGTGGAAACAGGCAAATGTAGTACCCATATTCAAAAAGGGAGACAGAGCATCAGCGTCAAATTACCGGCGGATCAGTTTGACGTCAGTAGTGGGGAAATTTCTTGAATCAATTATAACAGATAGCATCCGATCGCATCTAGAGAAAAGCAAATTAATCTACGACTCGCAACATGGTTTTACAAAGGGAAAATCTTGTCTAACAAATCTGTTGGTGTTTTTTAGGAAAGTCTTCGAGGTAGTAGATAATGACGAAAATTACGATGTTATTTACTTAGACTTTAGCAAAGCATTTGACAGAGTACCGCATCAGAGGCTTCTGAGAAAAATTATGGCTCATGGTATCGAGGGGAAAGAATCAAATTGGATAAAATCATGGCTCACCGATAGAAGGCAGAGGGTCAGCGTAGATGGTGTTAAATCTGAGTGGGGCCGTGTAACCAGTGGGGTTCCCCAGGGGTCAGTACTAGGCCCACTCTTGTTCATAATCAACATAAACGATCTAGATACTGGGATCAGCAGTGACATAAGCAAGTTTGCGGATGACACCAAAATAGGGCGGCAGATTAATTCAGGGCAGGATGCAAATGCATTACAGGAGGATCTAAATAAACTGCAGGTGCAGGGGTGGTCTGAAAAATGGCAAATGAAATTCAACACCAGCAAGTGCAGCGTACTTGATATTGGAAGAACAAATACTGAAAATGTATACAGCCTTAACATCATCAACCTAGAGAAGTCGACTTGTGAAGGAGACCTAGGGGTACTTGTAAGCCCGGACCTACGGCCTAGAAAACAGTGCGTTAATGTTCGAAATAAGGCAAACAGAGTATTGGGTTTTATATCTAGAAGTGTAAGTAATAAGAGTGCAGAGGTCTTATTGCAACTATATCTTGCGCTAGTCAGGCCGCACCTCGATTATGCGGTTCAGTTCTGGTGCCCTTATTATAGAATGGATATCAATTCACTAGAGTCGGTGCAGCGAAGAATGACGAAAATGATTCCGGGACTTAGAAACCTTCCATATCAGGATAGGTTAAAGAAACTTAACTTGCATTCCCTAGAAAGACGAAGAGTGCAGGGAGATATGATAGAAGTATTTAAGTGGGTGAAAGGAATCAATAAAGGGGATATAGATAAAGTTCTTATAATATCCGAGCAGGATAGGACTCGGAGCAACGGATTTAAATTGGATAAGTTTAGGTTTAGGAGGGAGATAGGAAGAAACTGGTTCACAAATAGGGTGGTGGACGAGTGGAACAAGCTTACCAACTTTGTAGTAAGTGCTGGAACTCTGGAAAGTTTCAAAATGAGGCTTGATAGATTCATGGATGATAGAGAGTGGTTGTAACTCTCGACAGGAGCTGCCATGCACAGGCCAACCGGCCCATTGCAGACTTCTTATTTTCTTATGTTCTTATGTTCTTATTGAATATCCAAACGTTTTTAGGTTAGGTTAGGTTGGGTTGGGTTGGGTTGGGTTGGGTTGGGTTGGGTTGGGTTGGGTTGGGTTGGGTTGGGTTGGGATGGGTTGGGTTGGTTTGGTTAGGTTAGATTAGGCTTGATCGGTTATATTAGGTTAGATTATATTATGTTAATTTAGGTTAGGTTAGATTACCATTAAGCTAGAATACCTTAGGTTAGATTAATTAGATTACCATTATTTAGATCACATTAAATTAACATTGAATGAAATAAATTTGGTCTTAACTACTCAAGTGATCTAACTTGATTACCTTTTAACTAATCATTTCATTAACCTCTACTTCTCACACTCCAGTAACGCAGATGTGTACTACAACAAGGTCTACTTAACGCCGTGGTGTCGTGCAGGGCCGTGGCTCGTCGGAATCTGGCTGGGCTACATCATGTATACTCAAGATCACAAGCGAGTCGTCCTGAAGAAGGTGAGAGAGATGTTCCCCATGTCTTTTGTGTGTATGTGTGTGTGCTTTAACCCCTTGCTTCTACTATTATTACATACACCAAGATTTCTTCACCACCAAACCTAACTTAACCTGTCGACTAATCTTCCTTGTTGTTTCCAGTGGCAGGTAGTGGGTGGGTGGACGGCAGCTGTGTGTACCGGAGTGTTGCTTGTGTTTGGGGTGTGGAGCTACAACACCGTGCCACCCAAAGCTGACTATGACATCGTGACCCAGGTGGTGTACGGTGGGCTGCAGCGGTTCATGTGGGGTGTAGTGATGGCCTGGATTATCTACGCCTGTCATTACGGAGCTGGTGGTGAGGAGTCTTTTACCACACTTATAACCATAGTTATTCTTATACCACACTATGGCCAATTAGGTGACAATATTACACTGAGACTCTACCTTAACTCTCCCTTAACTAGATACATTCACTGAATACCAGAATCTCTAGAAAGACTCAGTTTATGGATCTATGTGTGTGTGTGTGTGTGTGTGTGTGGCTGACAATAGTATCTCGGGTCCTACAAATCAGTTCCAAAATGTGTGAGAAAATTTGCCCCCCAAATTGTTTCTTTTCGTTCATTTCTTCTTTATTTTACTTCCTTCCTTCTTAAGTCTTATGTATTCCTATGTCACAAAAGGATATAAAAATAGATAAACTTGAATTGAGTTACATCAATAAATTCAAGGATGAGGATGCCTATTAAACTTGATCTGACCTGTCCTTACCTGACCTGACCTGACCCATCCTGCCCTGTCCTTTCCTAATCTATTAAAATTGGTACCCAGTTGTAATAGCTCTCTAGTCCTAAAGATCAAGGCAGCATAAATTGGAACCTATTAAAACTGGGAACTATTAGGATTGAGGACCTAATAGGTCTAAAAAGGACCCACGTAGCCTAACATGAACTAACCCAACCCTCCCTGAACTGACCATTTTTCGAATGGTCTGAAAAATGGCATATGAATTTCAACGTGGACAAATATAAAGTATTCAGTATAGGAGATGTAAACAGGGAAACCAGATACCAGATGAACAACGATGCCATAGAGAAATCCGACTGCGAGAAATATTTAGGAGTAATGATAAGTAGGAACCTTAAGCCAAGTAAACAATGTGTTTTTACTCGTAACAAGGCTAATAAATTACTTGGGTTCATACAAAGGAGTGTTAGTTACAGGACTAGCGAGGTCATCCTAAAACTGTATCTTGCGCTTGTGAGACCACACCTGGATTACGCAGTTCAGTTCTGGTCACCGTATTACAGAATGGATATAGAAATCTTGGAAAGAATTCAGAGGACAATGACAAGACTAATCCCGGGCATTAGGAACCTTGAGTAAAGAGACAGGTTAAAGCATCTTAATTTGCACTCCCTCGAGAGACGTAGAGAGAGGGGCGACCTGATGGAGGTGTATAAGTGGAAGGCAGGGCTAAGCAAAGGGGACATTACAAAGGAACTCAAACTATTCAACCAGGAGCGAACTCGTAACAATGGTTTTAAATTAAACAAATTTAGATTTCGGCGCGAAATACATAAACACTGGTTTGGAAACAGAGTAGTGGATGAGTGGAACAGGTTACCAAATATCATCATTAACTCGAATACGCTGAATAGCTTCAAACACAGATTGGATGCTTATATGAGCAATAGGGGTTGGGTGTAAACGGGACAGCCCAGTATGGGCCAACAGGCGTGTTGCAGTTTCCTCCATTCTTATGTTTTTATGACCTGACCTCAATATTGTCTTCACTACAGGCCTCGTGAATGACTTCTCGCCACCCCATCTGGCAGCCACTTAGCCGTCTGACCTACACCATGTACCTAGTGACTCTAACAATGCAATTCGCAATCGTGTATCAGGCGAGGGTACCCTACTACTACTCTTACATCAGCCTGGTATTTATGAAGTGTTGTTGATTATTATGGTTAGGGTAGGGTTAGGTTAGGTTAGAAGCAGTAGGTTAAGTTAGGTTAGAGTATGTTAAATTAGGTAAGTTGTGTTAGATTAGGTTAAATAAGTAGGTAAGTTGTGCTAGATTAGGTTAAATTAAGGTAGGTAAGTTGTTTGTTAGATTAGTTTAAGTTAAGGTAGGGTAAGTTGTGTTAGATTAGTTTAAGGTAGGGTGTTGTGTTGATTAGGTTAAATTGAGGTAGGAAATTGTGTTAGATTAGGTTAAGTTAAGGTAGGGTGTTGTGTTAGATTAGGTTAAATTAAGGTAGGGAAGTTGTAAATAAGTTTAAGCAAGGTAGGTAAGCTGTGTTAGATTAGTTAAGTTAAGGTAGGGAATTGTGTTAGATTAGGTTAAATTAAGGTAGGGTAAGGTGTTAGATTAGGTTACTAAGGTAGGGTAAGCTGTGTTAGATTAGGTTGCTGTAGTAAGTTGTGTTAGATTAGGTTGCTAGGTTGGAACAATAATGGTATATATTATAATGAACAAATTTACCATCATGAATAAACTCATAAGGTAAAACTTAACCAGGTATTATATAAGCGTCACCAGGTACCACACAACCCTCACAAAGTACCACCTGCTTAGATTATGGAGACGTGGTGTAATGTGATCTCCTTCTTCGTGGCTGTGTTGGCCTCTGTTGAATTGGCTTGGAGAGGATCCTGCTGGGACGTCCTGGTAAGTTCTGGTGATTGGGTGAACGGTGATTCATGTATTATCTAGCAATTTTTTGGACAATCATAATAAATACTTATATTACACAGTTAACACAAACACTCTCTACCAGAGGACAGCTGACCTCCTCGACCCCAGAGAATGGCGCTGCACTCTCCTGTAGGACGCGACAACTCCGCCACTTCCGAAATGAAAGAGATGACCCCAGAAAACAAAGATACTGGATCAATCGGTAATTTATATAACCAAGCTGTGATTTTGATATCTGACTATGATAACAAGACCAAATTGAACTGATTACCGACCCATGGCTGATAACAAGATCAAATTAGATAACAAATTGGGGCTTATAACTGATAACAAGACCAAAGGCTGATAACAAGATCAAATTGGGGCTGATAAATAACTGATAACAAGACCAAATTGGAATTGATATTGAACTTATGACTGATATCTGACCAAATTTTCATTCTGTTGTCCGATTTTGTTTGATAACAGGCGAATTGATATCTGCCTATATGAATGGTTAATTCCAATAAGTAACCAAGTTGGTACATATTATATTGGGCTTTAGTAACAAAACCCAACTGAAGTTTCTTCTTATTAAAAGTATTATTTGTATAATTCCTGAGTGTAGATCAACCGTAGGTTTCACTATTTATGAGTGTGATGAGAAAGGACGGCGACTATGTAAATACACGTGAATCAACGTCCGTTCGATGTAAGTTTGAGTGAGACTGACTAAGGGCGTCACATGGAGCTACATAATTGCTGACATGCAGTCAAATGGGCTTCTCCTCTAGGAAGCTACCGTTCACGTGATATGTTCATGACATCTCATAGTTAGTGGAAAATTATAGGGATGAATCTGAATGTAAATCAATAAATTACATATTGCGATATCCATCTTATATGTGATAACTAAATGTACTGATATTAACGTCAAGATAACACCACTACATGTATAGGTTATCCAAGGTCTCAGGGACGATAATATTATAAACATATGTAAATTCACTACTGTAAACAGAATACAATAAACAACTGATGGCTTTGTGTGCTATTGGGTAGAGTGACTTAGAGTTTACCTTTTTTATATACCTGCATGATCTATATATATTGAACACCTGTCAATGTTAACTTGTATCCATGATCATGAAGAGTAAACATCTGGCAATATGTAACCAATGCTTCAGGTAACAGCTACAAGGTGTTATGAGAGGAGATGGTCACCTGCTTACTTACATAAATATAACTATTAAGTCATACAGTTTTAATCATCACATTTTTAGGTTACGATAAAAGTCAACTAATTAACAAAACAATGACTTTGTATATCTGATTAATTTAGGATTTTTATTAAGATTAGATATTTTACCTTCTTTCACTTAATGATTAAACTCATGATAATCATTTAACCTAACCCAACTTTCTGTGTATCATAAGGGATTACTGGAAATATGCTAGAAGAGTTGATCTTGTGGTTCTGGCTTCGAATCCGTCATTAGCAAAGCACTGAATCAGGAGTCGAGCTTCGAGTTTTATCGTGTCTTATGGAACCATTAGTATCACTTTGTATACAGTTTTATGTGATAATAAATGTTGAGGATATTGAGGCGATAATGATGTCTGATACTGACAGGTTAGGGTAGAGTATGTTAAATGGATATGGTAAATTGTGGAAGATTAGTTAGGTTAGTAGGGTTACATTAGGTTAAGTTAGAGTAGGGTTACATTAGGTGGTGGTGAAGTACATTAGGTTAAGTAGTAGGGTTACATTAGGTTAAGTTAGGGTAGGGTTACATTAGGTTAAGTAGGAGTAGGGTTACATTAGGTTGGGTTAGGTAGGGGTTACATTAGTTAAGCAGAGTAGGGTTACATTAGGTTGGTTAGGAAGGGCACACAGGTTGCTAGGGTAGGGTACATTAGGTTGGCTAGGGGTTACATTGGGTTGCTAGGGTAGGGTTACATTAGGTTAAGTTAGGGTAGGGTTACATTAGGTTAAGTTAGGGTAGGGTTACATTAGGTTAAGTTAGGTAGGGTTACATTAGGTTAAGTTAGAGTAGGGTTACATTAGGTTAAGATATAGGTTACATTAGGTAGAGAGTACACAAGGTTGGGTTAGGGTAGGTTACATAAGGTTGGGTTAGAGTAGGTTACTAGGTTGTTAGGGGTAGGGTTACATTAGGTTAAGCAGGAGTAGGGGTTACATTAGGTTGCTAGGGAAGGGTTACTAGGTTGCTAGGTAGGGTTGCATTAGGTTGGTTAGGTAGGTTACATTAGGTTGGGTTAGGTAGGTTACATTAGGTTGGTTAGGTAGGGTTACATTGGTTGGGTTACAGAGAGGGTTACATTAGGTTGTTTGGGTAGGGGTTACATTAGGGGTTAAGGTAGGGTACATTAGGTTGCTAGGGTAGGGTTGCATTAGGTTAAGCAGAGTAGGTTACATAGGTTGGTTAGAAGGAAGCATTAGGTTACAGAGTAGGGTTACATTAGGTTAGGTAGGGGTTACATAGGTTGCTAGGTAGGTTACATTAGGTTAAGCAGGTAGGTTACATAGGTTGGGTTAGGTAGGGTTACATTAGGTTAAGCTTGGAGTAGGGTTACATAGGGTTAAGTAGAGTACGGTTACATTAGGTTAAGTAGAGTAGGTTACATTAGGTTGGGTTAGAGTGGGGTTACATTAGGTTAGGTTAGGAAGGGTTACATTAGGTTACAGAGTAGGGTTACATTAGGTTACAGAGAGGGGTTACATTAGGTTAAGTTAGGGTAGGGTTTACTAGGTTGGGTTAGGTAGGGTTACATGGTTACAGAGTAGGTTACATTAGGTTAAGAGTAGGTTAAAGGCTAGGTAAGCTACAAAAGGTTAAGTAGAGTAGGGTTACATTAGTTAAGTAGAGTAGGGGTTACATTAGGTTAGTAGGGGTAGGGTTACATTAGGTTAAGTTAGGGTAGGGTTACATTAGGTTAAGTTAGGGTAGGGTTACATAGGGTTAAGTAGGGTAGGGTACATTAGGGTTAGGTAGGGTTACATTAGGTTAAGCAGGAGTAGGTTGGCATTGTAAGGTTGCTGGGTAGGGGTACATTAGGGTTAAGTTAGAGTAGGGTTACATTGGTTGTTAGGAGTAGGGTTACATTAGGTTAAATTAGGGTAGGGTTACATTAGGTTAGTTAGGTAGGGGTTACATTAGGTTAAGTTAGGTAGGGTTACATTAGGTTAAGTTAGGCAGGGTTCCATTAGGTTGTTAGGGTAGGGTTACATTAGGTTAACTTAGGATTGGATATAAAGATTTGGATGGTTTGGAGAAAACTTATTTTGCCTCAAGTTGACTATTGTAACTTTTGGAGTCTACCTGCCTAATTATCTACTGAAGAAAGTTCAAACAGTGTTGAACAGGGTTGCCAGACTTATTTTGCTCTCCCACTGAGGACTCCCACTACCCTGTTCTTGATCGAATTACATTGGCTTCAATAAAAGCTGATAAAGTTCAAACTCTGTAATGACTTAAGAGACACTAATGTTTGGTGAGCCTAAGTATTGGGCCAACCTGCTAACCAGTCAGGAGCGAGGGCACCCACGGTGTCTGAATGATATGAATATTATATACTATAATTTAATCCCACTTACTGAGAATCAAAGAAAAATGCAAATTAAAAACAATTTTAATATTTAATTATAAGATGAAGCATAATTATATCTCCGAATACGGGGCGGATCCAGGAATATCAAAAGGAGAGGTCCAAGAAATTGTGGGTGGGGGGAACATGGCAAGCACAGTGAGCCCACCCATCTGGGGAGGGAAGGGGTGGGCTGTAGGCCCCAGAATTTGTTTTAAATCTGACCAATATCATGGTCATTTTGGAGGCCACTTTGAAGCCATATGCACTTGATATTAGGAGATATTCCTAAGTCAATAGTAATTACTTACTATACAAAAATGCCTGAGTACATTACAAGTACTGCATTAAAGAAAAATATTGGAATTTTATGATGAAAAGGGGGGGGTCCGGACCCCAGGACCCTGAATCCACCCTTGTTCAAGATAAATAAAAACAAAAGTATTTTCGACGAAACGTATTTTCAATAGTTACCCATGTAATACCAAAACATTCTTTATGAGAATTGCACCCTTCACAGATGGCGCGTCGGCCAAGCCACAAAGAGAATAAGTTTTAAGGGAGTTCAATATCCTTCTTCTGTATATTCCGTGGTTAAAGGCATAAATCACGTCAGCACGATGATGTATGGAGCCATGGTAACATTCATGATTTTTTTTACGGGGATTAGCCCACGGGCTTAGTTAGAATATTATTAAGAATATGATGGCAAGTGTTGAAGGTGACTGCCAGTAACTCAAAGATGAGTATTTTACATAAATGTGGGTGAAATATTACGTTGTGTGTACAGTAAACAGCAGGGACCCTGGAGTCGGTAGTTAAATCAAAGCGTTAAACAGCAATGACCTTAGTTGTTGAAGAGCAGTTGTAATAAAAGTGTATTTTCCTTATTTCTTATTTAAATTTATTAACTTACTTTTACTCTTTCTCCATTCCCAGGAAGGGAATTAAAAACTATTCTTAACGGATCTTCGTTTATTAATATATATTACCCAGAATGAACAGCTACACCATCAAAACAACCTGTTCTCCAGTTAGTTAAACAGAGTTACACGAATCACAATACATCTTGTGAAATGGATAAAACCTTAAGTTCACCTACTTAATATATATATATATATATATACAATCAACACCTAACCCCAAGTTCAGACCTGACCCCACGACTGTGACCGAGGAACGCCGCTGGACCACCAGGATACAAAAGCAATCTTAGACTGTTATATTTCATAAAAAAAAAAAAAAAAAAAAAGATTTATATATATATATATATATATATATATATATATATATATATATATATATATATATATATATATATATATATATAGGTAAATCACTGTAGG